TTCCAATCCTGTGGTACCACCTTGCTGAATCAGCAGAAGTGAGCAGAAGTGAGCAGAAGTGACCAGAGCATTCCCTGTCCCAGGTGCAGCCTGGGCCGCCAATGGCTGAGGTGCCACAGCTTTTGGAAAAGTTCTTTCAGGGCTACAGCACCTGCACCATCATCTGGAGATGTTTCAAGGTTTGGAGATGATCCCATCAGGAGCTGGGGGTTCAGTGTCTACGAGGACCTGGGCCCAAAACCCTGTTTGCTTGGCAAGCCCAAAATCCCTGTTCCTGACCCGTGGCTGCTGCCACCGAAGCCACAGCTGTGACCACACCAAGAGGCCTTCAGGACCTGCCACCTCTGAGTGTGTCACAAACCCACCAGGACCCGTCACACCAGATCCCACCAGGTCATCTCTCCAGCAAGGCTGTGGTGGGTGGATGCAGCCCCCATGGAAAGCCAGTGGGACCCTTGTGTAGGTGGTGAGGATCCAGGAGCATCTTTCCTTGCTGGAGTGATCTCTTCCAGCCCATAAACATGTGGTCTGGGTGGCTTCCCATTCCCAGAGTAGGTGGTGGGATCCTCTCTCCATCAGCCTGATTCCATAGACTCCATAGCCATCCATCCCTGTCACATGTACATCTCTACCACCATCCCCACCATTCCCAGGTCATCTTCATCCATCCATCCATCCATCCATCCATCCATCCCTCCATCCATCCATCCATCCATCCATCCATCCATCCATCCATCCATCCATCCATCCATCCATCCATCCATCCATCCATCCTTTGATCCATCACGCACGTGCATCCGTCAGGCACATGGTGGGATTCTTGGGAATCAGGGCCACAAACTGGACTTCAGTGATCCTTGTGGGTCCCTTCCAGCTCAGGATATTCTGATTCTGTGATTCCATGATCCATCCATCCCTCTATCCCTCCATCCATCCGTTCATCCCCTATCAATGGACCAATTGACAAAACCACCTTAAAAGGGACACTGAGAGTGGTGGGATGAACAACCTGCTGGAGCTCACTGGGCAGTTCAGGGACAATTTATCCCCATCCAAGATATTCCCAAACCAAGTGAAATTAAAAAAAAACCCAAAACAACAAACAAACAAATCCAAAGAAGCAGAAAAAGAGAGAGAAATCAGGGGCCTCCTTAACCCCCCAACCCAAAATACGGCCCCATTTCTCCCTTCTCCACTTCAGGGCTGCACTTGGTGCCTGCTGAGGAGAAACCCGGGCAGGGGAAGGAGCTGTGCCCACGGGAAGGGCAGGTGGGAGAGGTGAGGAGGAAATGATCCCGCACTTTGAAGTCTGGTCAACTTTTAACATCCCGACCAGCTGCGCCCGCGGCCACGCTCCGGGGCCCGGGGCCTGATTTGGGGCCTGATTTTCCACATTTCTGCCCTTTGATGCCGAGGCCGGCGCGTTACAGATTAACGAGCCCGGGCACCCGCAGCACCTGCCGGCAGCGTCGGGATCCGGCCCCGGAGAATCCCGCCTGCTCCCGCTGCCCGGGAGAACGGGATGCGGGCAGGGATCCGCGTCCCAGCCGGGAGAAGGGCGGCCAACCCGGGCGTGCAGGTGGATTTGGACACAGGGAGGGACCCGCTGTCCCTCTGCCCACCCTAAACACCCCAATAACTGACCCTCTACCCCCAACCCGCCTCCAGTTTTTGGTGCCTGGCCCTCTCTCCCTCTCCTTCCCTCCTCTTTCGTTTGCTCCTTGCAAAATCCTCGCGGTTGTATTTTAGCAGGCGCCAGACCCCCCTTTTCCCCCTCCAGCACCCCCTAATCCCGGTGCAGCCCCCCCTGCCCGGCCCCTGCCGGGTCCCTCCGCTGCGCTCGCTCGTTCGGCGGCTCTTTCGTTAAAAAAGAAAATGTCTTTCTCCTCCAGCCGGAGCTCCTCCCGGCCAGCAATCCAGCGGGAAGGCAGGATCCTGGCTCCCCTCCTCCCGGGAATGCAGGGGATACATAAAGTTTTCCTCTTAATAAACCACGGACACCTCGAGCCGGAGCAAGACACCCGCTCGGGGGGGTCCGTGTTTATTCCCGCAGGGGATAAAAATCCTTCTTGAATTATCCTGAAGCCGGGAGCAGGCCTGGAAGCGGAGGGGAAAAAGAAATTTAGAGATAAATTTGGGTTTCTCGCCCGGTTTCAGCGTAGCAGCTCCTCGGTTCCCTTCGGAGCGGCCAAGGAGTCTCGCCTGGACACTGAGCCGGGACTGGAAACCACCGGGGCAAAGAGGGAGGAAAAAAAAAATCAGATTAAAGATTTACAATTTTCCACGAGGGCGATTTGTCCCCAAACCAAAGCAGCTCCCTCCCCCCCCCAAAAAAAATGCTCCTGTGGAGACGGGGCGCGGAGGGGAGATGCTGCCGGCGGGGATCCCTCCGGGAAGCAGCCGGAGCGCGGCCGCCTTTTCCATTTTTCCCCCCCGCGCAGAAGATGCAGAAAACGGGTGAGATCCGCACGCAACGAAATCCCGGCCCAGCGCAGAGCTCCGCGGGCGCGGATCCCGCAGCGCCCGCTCCGCACGGGCGGCTGCGGGAGGGCAGGGGCGGAGGGGCCGCATCTCCCCCCGCCCGCCGGCCCTGGGGGCAGAGAAGAGGGCGAGGGGGAAGAAAAAAAAAAAGAGAGAGAGAGAAAAAAATTAAATTGAATTAAATTGTATTAAATTGGTTTAAATTAAATTCCACAAAAGTCCGGAGCCGGGCACAGCTCCCGTGGCTGAGCCGAGCTGTCCCCGCATTCCCCTTCCCTTCCTCATCCCCATCTCTTCCCCTTCATCTCTATCCCTTCCCCTCCTTCCCTATCCCTTTCCCGTCCCTTCCCTTTCCCATCCCATCCCATCCCTCCACGAGTATTCCCCGCTCCGCGCCCGGTGCCCTCTCCGCCCGCTCTCTCACCCAACTCCGCTTCTTTATTTCCATTTCTAATATCAAAAAAATAAATAAATGGAAATACATTTGAAAAAATCTATTTATAATATATTTTCAATGTCGATTATTTTTTCCTCTCTCTCTCTCTCTCTCGCGCGGAAATAAAAATAAAAGCGCTTTGCCGACGCTCTCGCTCCATTTTTAGGCTTTCATTTCTCTGGGATTTCAGGGAATTTTTCCTTTCCTCTCCCTCCCCAAAGCCTTCCTCCCCGCAGCCTCTTGCGGGAGCGCGTCCGCGCAAAGCCCGCGCAGCAGCAGCGCTCTGCTCTCCGCGGGGGGAAGGATCCCGCGCGGAGTATTTCGATCCAGCCAAGTGGAAAATAGACTTTCAACCCCCTTTGTGCGGGAGGGGAGGGCTCGCCCCCGCCTCCGCGGGGCCAACAAAACTCCGAGCAGAGCCAAACTGCGGAGTGAACTCGGGACCGGCCCGCGCAGGGGGCTGCGCGCCCGCGCATTCCCCCCCCGCGCCGGGGAGAAACAGCCCAAAATCGCCACTTACTGGGAGCTTTCAATTTTTTTAATTTTTTTTTCTTTTTTTTTTTTGGAATTCCCGGGATCGGACCCGTGGGAAGAGCTTTTGTCCGCTGGAAAGGTCCTGCCTCTGGAAGGGGGTTTACGCGGGAGGCGGAGGGGCCGCGGGCTGGGCTTCACCTGTCCTCCCTCCCCACACACACCCGGGCCGCGGAGTTCCGCGCTTCGCTGCGGGCAGGGTTATTTTATTTATTTAAATAGCGGGGAGGAAAAAAAAAAAAAAAAAAGAGGGAGAAGGAAAAAAAAGAAGAAGAAAGGAGG